CATCATGGACATATGACCTCTCCCCACCTGGGTCCCCAAGCATATTATGACCCCCAAATGCATGTTCTGCCAGGCTGCCACGAAGAAAAACACTTTGAGGCCTTGGACACCTTGCTACAGATCACCAAATGCCTGGTGCAAATGGTGACAAACGTTGGGACCGTCTTGCGCGGGAGGATTAGGTCACTCCATTGGTCTCTCGGAAGTGGAAGAAATGGAGCACCAATCTGTAGAGGAAAATGCTGGAAAATGGCCATTCCAAATCTTTGGGCCATTCCATCCACCTCCACCATGACGATTCCAGGAGGTGTGAAAACACCATCTTCCTACCGCAAGGTGAAGCCGGGGAATCACGCTTTTCATGGTCGTTGTCTCACACCTGAACGGCACAACGACCTGGAGTTCAGGGGGGCGCCAAGCTTCAAAGCTCTGGGACGCTGGAAGCTCTTTCTGGGGGGAACTGATCAAATCAGCATGGCAAAGAAGTGGAAGTTGCTGTCCTTTTTTCACCACATAGTTTACTGTTGGGGTTCTCTCTTAGGAAAAAGGGCTGGCCGCACCCCTGAACTCTGTGTGGTCTTATCCTCCTAACTCTAGTCCTCCTCTTGTCCTGCTGTCGGCCTCTTGCCGTGCTGGCCAGCCCTGTGTCCTCCTCTTGTCCATCTCTTATCCTCCTCTAGTTCTCTTATCCTGTTGTTGTTCTTTGGCCGCGCTGGATAACCCTGTGTCCTCCTCTTATCCTCCTCTTGTCCTTATCTTTTTGTCCTCTGTTGTCCTCATGTCCTCCTGCTGTCGTGCTCTTTACGCTGCTGTGCGAGGCAGGGAACAACAATTCTTACCAACTAACCTGTTTGGGGTCTATGCTTGTATAATTGTTGATCAACACTTGGACAACAAGAGCAGTGCTTATCATGTCATCATAGCCCTCATCCACATGTTTCGCTGGAAAGACATGCCGAGGTCAAGTCTGTCTCGGCCTTTGCTTAGCTTCAATTGAACAAAACTCCATCACCAACTTCAGCATCTTTGCCAAAGGCAAGCATTGGATTTGGAAGGCCCAACTTGGTCCTTTTCCTCGCTTCTTTTAAAAGCAGGACCTCTCCCAAATCCCGTTCCGGTCCCAAAAAAGACGGTTTGTCCTATTTTTCAGCCTGGCTACAAAGCTGCTGGAAGACGATCCAGAACCACTTCCAGCAACACCTGCCACAGCCCATGGACCGAACCCACAACATCGGGCGTGCCCAAGCCGAAGCCGAGGCCGCAGGTGTTCCGCAGCTGGATCCGGACCCTCCAAAACCAGGGTTGGGAGGGGCCACCAAAGCCGGTTGTAGAGGGTTCGACCCCTGGTATGGAGGGTCCGGACTCGGATCCTTAGGGTGCATCTACATGACGGCTCATAGCCGTTCTAACTCCGTTGGTACTGGGATGATCCTGGTGGAAACACCTCCCAGCTCGAGCGCCGAAGGATGAGGCAGACCATCAACAGGCACCCATCAGGGGTTCACTCAAGTTTGCCCCTGTTCACATGAAACTGAAAGTGGTACCTGAAAGAGGTATAGGCACTTCCTGGAACTCCAAATCGTCCGTTTCCTGACGTATCATTGTAACGACCGACAGCTGACCTCTGCGACATCTCACAGACCTTCGCACCTGCGACCCAACCATCCCCTATAGAACTCATCCCTCAAAAAACCGTTCACCAAACAAAACGGACACGTGCGAAACCAAGAAAAAGAGACACCACATGCATCCCAAGAGGGCCCTTCTTTTCGGCGTGGCGCCTTCTTTTCGGCCGTGACACTGTGGGGGGCCTCCGAAGCCGGCGACTGGGGCTCCAGGCTTCGTCCTCCAGGCGTAGGCCGTGCAAGGCTTCCAAAAGGTTCACGACTGCCTGGCGACGGGAAAGGTGGGGATGGACGAAGAGAGGTGCACCAGACCAGGCACAGCCAGGATGTGAAGACCCATTGAATAAATTTAGATCATTACATGGATCCTTCATACATCCTTCATGAATCTGGCCAGATGCATATGTTTCAGTGATACAAAAAGCATCAAAAAGCTATCGTCAAAAGAGCATGGCGGTGGGTCAAAGCAAGGATACCTTGCTTGACCTACCAAACGATACTTGCAGATTCTGTCGCTTGTTTGCGGCTCATGATGGATGGACCAGGGCTCCAGGTGAGTCGCTACCCATATATCATATATGACATATATATATATATGATGATGTCATGTTCAAGAGGTGCAAAGGTCTACAGTCTACAGGAGGGTCAAATGCCATTCACTTTCATGTTTTTGTGAGTCAAAGTCAAAGGGTCGGATTTCCTCCTCCGTGTGTTGTTTGAATACGCAAGAAGAGCTATGGTGGATGGGGAATGGTTCCTTTAGATTCATGTGTCAATCCTGTGACTTGCTTATTGATATGTTGTCCTTTGTTTGCCATGGATCTCTTTTGAACACGACGAGTTGCTCGCTCTTAATCTTGCTTCAAACAGTACGTAATGACGGAAACATCACATAAAATGCAACTTTGCTTGATTCAGAAACCACTTGTGCTTTTAATTTTTGGTGGTTGATCTAAATGAAATGGCTGTTCCATGGACCTGGTTGATCGATGCCCATTGGGATTCTTGGGACGAACCGAGTGTTTCGAAACCCCCACCTTCACGCCGAACCGAATCCTAAGACGAAGCGAGTCCGCGCGACTTCGCGCTTGGACGCACGGTGCACGGCAGCGGCCTGTACCAGACTCGAGTCTTCGTGCGCAGAGCGGCGGTTTGTCACCAGATCTCGCGCAAGGAAGGTTGAAGACAGTCGCTGAAATCAGCATGGTGGAATATGGTGGAGTTCCCACCATGTTTATTCGGTTTTATGGTCATTCAAGGAGCCATGCCATCCATGAAAGCACCATGATGATTTCAGGGGACTGTACTTTCAACCATCGCAGAAGCCCGTCCCATTCCGCCTTCCGCCTTGCCACGCCTGTTTCCCCGGTCCGCCGCGGACGTCCGCGCCTCCAGTTCCAAGCGCCAGGGTCCATATCCTCGCAAGCGCAAGGCCTAGTGACCGAGAGCCGGTAGGATGTGGGAGATGACTCAACGACGACCGACTGACCGGTCCTCGCCGGTGGGTGGACCTCACCGGCAGACCTGGAGAGGCAGACCTTTGGGGGAAAAGACCTCCGAACTGAACAGGCCGAGTCCAGGAAGGTGGACACCTTGAAAACAAGCTGGTCTTCCAGCAGGTTGAAGAACCCGAACTAGACTATCCTATAGGTACCCCTGGTTACGCGTCCTATTTACGGTCACTTAAGCTCTGTTGGTTGAGGCAGGCAAAGAAACGCCTCACCCAATACAACCATGGCGGAAGCCGCCAGGAATCGCCTGTTGAAGAAACGAAATGGACCACACGAAACCCATCAACACAAACACAAATTAAATATGGGCGATTGAACAAGGAATGACACATGGGATAGTACTTGCTGACAACTGGTGAGGATGACAACCCGCATCCATCTTCTCTTTTGAAGATTTATGGGCATGCGGGGAAGCACTACAAAAACCCTCTTCTTTCAGAAGTCCCACCACTACACATGAATAGCACACAACTTGGAGCACTAGAATGCATGCTGCGCAGCAACTCTGTTTCCGGCGAGTTTCGCACATCGCATGATTGTAATCAGCCACTTTTGGACCGATAAGCACTCAGCAACGTAGTACTGAACGGAAGGCCAAGCTGAGATAGGAGTCTTGGCAGTGTTCGTTGGTCGCTTGCTGTGGACAAATCATCAAAAGAACATCCCAGGTTGATGCAGGAGGAAAACACATAGTCAAAACAATGTCACCACCAATAAGTCACAAACATATAGTAAATATAGACTGAATGAACGTAAAAATAACTTCCCGCAACTCACCTTGGAAAGTTCTGGCAAGCTGGGAAAATACTCCCTGCTACAGGGATGTCCAGCACAAAAACCAGCAACTTTCCATTGGCCAACACCTGAAATTGAGGTGATCTTCTATATACGGCATGGTGTGGTTTGCTGCCAAAACTCAGGCGCAAAGATTTCAAACACCGGCAAAACACAAACATCTCTTAGATCGGCTGGCAAACACACTTTTCCAAGCAATCCACCTGCCAAATTGTGCTTGAAAATGTCAAAAAATATCAAGCTACAAAGCCCATCAACTACATGAGCACACTCACGTCCTTATAACTTGCCATCCTGGTAATTGTAGCCGTAGCGTGACGACTTTCCATCCTGGTAGCTGTAGCTGTAGCCTTTTGAATAGTATTGGCGACGGTTCCTGCGATCAAACCTGCGCTGCCTTCGGATTCGACGCTGATACTGATACTGATAGGGCTTCTGGGTAGAAGCTGGCGCTGTTGTTGTCACGAGCATTTTCTTTGTTGAGGTAATTATCATTTTCTTGGTTGAAGTTCTGATTCTCGGGCCGGGGGGTTTTGTCTTTGAGGTAGTGGTAGTAGTCGAAGTCGTTGTTGTTGTCGTCGTGGTGGTGGTTGTAGTCGTGGTGGTGGTCGTGGTCGTGGTCGTGGTCGTGGTCGTTGTTGTTGTTGTTGTCGTGGTGGTGGTTGTAGTCGTGGTTGTGGTCGTGGTCGTGGTCGTCGTCGTCGTGGTCGTGGTCGTGGTCGTTGTCGTTGTTGTTGTTGTTGTCGTGGTGGTGGTGGTCGTCGTGCTTGTTGTGGTTGTGGTTGTCGTCGTGGTTGTCGTCGTGGTTGTCATCGTGGTGGTTGTTGTGGTCGTTGTCGTAGTTGTGGCGGTTGTCGTGGTTGTTGTCGTAGTTGTCGTGGTTGTTGTCGTTGTTGTCGTAGTCGTGGTGGTTGTCGTGGTCGTGGTGGTTGTGGT